CACCACTACCACCACAACTACCACCACAACCACCACCACAACCACCACCACAACTACCTCCACCACAACAACCACTACCATAACCACCACCACCACCACCACTACCACCACCACCACCAGCAGAATGAGACAAACTACAGCCTACCTTTCGCTGGCGCCGACAAGCGATACAGACTTTCTTACAGGAAAACCCTGACGTAGACGGCGGGGGCAGAGACGACGAACGCCTCGATCCTCCACCATCGGGCGCGTCAGTTTTCCGCTCGCGGCAGCGGCCGCGTCGTTTCTCCGCCGCGTCCTCTGAAGATGAACACGTCGACCGCTCTCTATCCGAGCTGCAGGAGATGCTGGAGGAGTTAGGAGACCTCGCGGTCGACCTCTTTTTCTTTTTCCTCCTCTCCTCCCGGGAAGATTCGTCTTTATCGTCGCACGTTTCTTTCCGAAGCGAGCCACTGGACCCGTCTGTCGTTCCTGGAGTCCCGCTCGTTTCCTCGCCGTACCTGCCGGCTTTCCAGTTGGATCTGGGAGCCGGCTGTGGACCTCTGAGAGAAACAATGAGAAGCGAAAAATATATTGTATTAACACATTCTGCAAAAATAAAAAAGGGGAAAAAATAGACTACAAACGTTAAGTGTAAAAAAATGGATACGGTAGTATTTTTTAAATTTAAATGTCTTAGCCCCTAAAAACAACAACAACAACAAAAAGCCATCAGGAAAAATCATTTTTATTAGAAAAATAATAAAATTGAAATTAAAATAATCTAGTCTTTATAAGAGTTTAACGGCACTTGCAACAAAATTGCCTGTAGGTCATAAAAGCGAAGATTAAGACGTGTTAAAAGACAGTAGCAAACCAATAAAAGAAAGAGGAAAGATCAGGACGAAATATGTTTGCTCTGGTGGGGTTTGCTTCTTCTTTCCAATCAAACATCTATCGTCCTTATCTTCACTCCTTCTTTTTATGTTTGTTACTCTCTTGCAACACCTCTAATCTTCTGGCGCTCACATGACCTTATGCAGCTGCGAGCGCCGTAAAACCTCTACTAAAACAAACAGAGGGATAACCAAGCAAACCATACCAGAGTACCAGCCAACCACTCACACTACTTATTACAAACTAGCTGGCCCCCCTTTTGATTTAAGGAATGATCGGTGCTTTAATATCAACTGACAGTCATAGGCCTACTATGCGTGTATTTACACTCTACTGCAATGGAGGAATAAATCTTGAGAGACGCAAAAAATTAGAAGGTCTAGATCTAGATCTATATTCCAGGGGCGAAGGCTGACTTGTTTGACAGGGTAATCAAAGTGAAACGGGACCAGATAGGGCCTGTAGATATCACACAAGAATCTTACTCGAGGCGGCGACTCTGAGTTGTGAATGAAAACAAATCCGGAATTCATAGTGTATGTTCAACCGCCAAAATAATCGGGAAAGTATCTTATTAAATATCAGTTCCCACTAAAATTAAACTTAACTTTAGATGTGAATACATAAACATAAAGCAGAGAAGCAGAGATGTCAGTACTAGACCTATATGTTATAGATCTACCAGTGAGTCTAACTCTTTGGTAGAACATGACAATTATTATTTTTTAAATTTCACATTTGGCTGTTTTTGTTAGCCTTTCGCGGCCAGGAGCTGGTGTCATAATCGAGGTCTCAATCTGATTATAGGACGGTAAAAAGTCGAGGAAAAAAAACAAGCACAAGCAGCAGTCAAGGGATTATTAAGAGTTAGTTCCCCTCACATTTGTGAGGTAGACTCGACCAGTGTTAGTTAGCTTACTTAATCAGGGCTGGTGATTGATTTTAACTGTGGCCCCAAAGGGGTGAACAGGGTATATGTGGCAATGAAACAGCTTTGACTGCCATGCACATGTTCCCTTCAACTCTATTCCAGCCTCACTTTATTTGTTGATTACGAACGTCTTTTGACATTTAATTTATGAGGTTTACGTTTAAGGATGAATTTGCCAGCGACAATGTTTCAAAATTAGAAAGGGAAGCAGTGATTATTTGATTATATAGACGCTTCGCCCCTGCTATATTCTCAAAACAATATGCGCCTAGCAAAATATCACGTTCGGCACTTCCGCAGTGAAAGACAGCTACGCAGATTTGTTTCGTTTCTCAGTGGGATAATCACAAAGACCAAAGAAGGACAGAAACTTTTTGTCAAATATATTTTTCTAAATTCAGGAAATGAATAAATAAAAAATCAGGCTCCGTCATGGGGACCTTTCTATCTTTTTACAGGTACTTTACAACTTTCAACTTGGTAGCTGTCGTAGTTTTATGCGAAAAGTGACACATGTGTTTCCAAGTTGCCAAATATATAATAGATTACTGTCTATAATAAGAAGGACAACTTGGACTGTAGTTCGAAGTGGATGAGTAAAATGACTTTTTAGTTAGTTTTAGTAGAGTTTTTACGGCGCACGCAACTGCATGAGGTCATACGAGCGTCAAAAAATGACTTTACAAAAGAAAC